CCCCTCATCACCATCATCATCGATGGTGCGCCAGAATTTAAAGTTTTACTATGGTGAACACTTTTACTTTGGTGAATTTGGTGAATACCGCATCCACTCTCTAGACCGGAACCAGAATCCAGACAAAACTCAGAGTGAATAAAAATCAGGTGACGCGAGGCTAGCAGTCAGCAATCAGGATACTCTCGAGTTTCATCTGGGTGGCTCACGGGGTAGTCAGTAGCTCAGAGCCTCTCGTCCTTCTCCTCCTCCTCCTTCTTCTTCAAATGTCCTCTTCGGAAAGATGAATTACAGCCTTGTTAGTAAGCTGAGTTAGCTTAGCTTTTCTGTCGCTAAAATTTCATTCACTTGGCTAGTGATGCATGCACACCCCTGCTAACCATACACCTGTGGTAGCTAATTGGTTAATTATGCATTCCATGAAAAACTGTTCAACACACTTCAGGTAGAAATGTTCTCAGCTCCTCACAGAAGATATGTAGAATGTCCAGGCACAAACTGTCGGATAGGCAGCCATAAAAAACACCAACTACATACTGTTCACTGACTTTTTTACACGTTGTGACTCAGCCAGTCAAGCGACACATATTCACACACCACTTCCTTTTCCTGCCATTACCTTCTAAATAAAACACTCTTCAAAATAAAATAAACATTTACTCAACATACTTATATCTTTACATCCGTGCCTGTTTAACTTATTTATTCCACAGCATTTTTTAATTTTACAGGAAACAACTTCTTTAACCTTACTTATGATGTATCTTTTTATGAACTGACTTTTTAACCTTATTTAAGATACTTTTAATGTTTTAACAATTTTAAACATTAACTTTATTACATATGGTATTTTTTAACCAGGTTACAGCGGTGACCTCCCTACATAGACTTTGTTGCACCTACATTATGTCGTGTGACTTCCTCGACACTGAACATAAATGTGGGTCATGATGATCATGTAATTTTTATTTACAGTTGAAAACATGTTTATTGTGAAAGTGAAGAGTTTCTACATCAACATGTTTGAGGGTTAATCTGCTGAACAAAACCTAAAATGCAATCACGCTGCCAAAATGCCAAAACTGATGTATGGCCCAATCATACAGTTAGATTTAAGACTCTAATGTGATGTCACAGGAAGCCAATCTTACAAAGGAGGACGACACTTGACACTGCTGATTTTTAATCAACCTTTTTTGTTTCAGTTTTTAGCACAAAATTAAATTATCTGTCAAAAACATTAAGTGACCAAGAAGTGACTCAGATAAATATGAAAGAAAAACAAGCCAAAACACACTGAGGTGTGGCTTTAATATGTAGCCAGAAGAGTTTTCAAAGAGCACTTGCCCACTCAAACCTGTGCAGGAGCTCCTGAACTTAAATTAGTATTGCAGGCTATTCCTGTTGTTATTCACAGAAAGAAAATGTACAAATATCGCTGATTCACATTCAGTTGTCTCGCCTCATCATGTCGCACAAACAAAACTTCAGTCACTGACAAAATACAAGCCTTGATAGCGTTGCACACAAAAACCATCATGTGCCGTACACGCAGGTGAAATTTCATGCAGGTATGCAGGTATGAAAAATGCGATTGTCATGACCCTGTTTTCTGTTAGTTAAGTTACCCATTTCGTGTTCATGTTTTGTGTCTTGTCTCATACTTCCTGTTTTATTTTGAAGATTCACCTGTCTCTCCTTGTCTCCGTAAGTTTTACTTCCTGTCTGGAGCTGTCACACCTGTTTCCTGATTGTTCCTCCCCAGCTGTGTCTCATCACCCCCTATCACCTCATGTATTTAATCCTCATGTCTTCCCCTGTCTTGTTGCCAGTTCGTCGTACGTCAGTCTTCGTCCCAGGACTCTTTCTTGTCTCGTCTTGCTGATAATCACAGTTTTGTCATTGATCTAGCTTTTGCCTCTCGATTTGGATACCTTAGCCTGCCTTGTTTGATTCTCTGTGTACCGAACCTTGCCGGTCTTTTGTAATAAACCTTGCTCTTGTCAAACCGGAAAAGAATTGAGCCTTTGTGTCCCTTCTGTGCCACATTTATGACAGAGATTCCATCCAAGCCTTATGTCGAGTGAACTTCTGCTTTTGCTGAATTAAAGTTTTCTCCTGACAATACCACCTGTGGATGTTTTCCCACTTCCTTTAGTAACTGTAGTTTGCACACCTTCAGCTTTGTGTAGAAACATCAGTGTGACAGATGACCCAGTAGCTCTCACTGTAGCGAGCGTCATTTGACAGCTGCATTAACGAAATTTTGGAGGATATCGCAGGAAGCTGGATCAGGAACACTCAGTCAGGTAAGTTAAAATAAAGCAGCCTACCACAAAAGTCACTACTTGTTAATAAATAACAATTATCAACTAGCTTCTGACATCACTGACATCTAAACTGACCAAACCACTAAATCACTGGGTTATTCACTCACTCAGTCTCTTTGTTTTAAAGCTTCAGTGGAATATTTGATTCATGATAGATTATAAAACATAGATCAAAACAAAACTATTATTACTACTATTATCCCTGCTGTGTTGTTGACACTGCTGCTCCTGTCAATCTTAAAACTTTGTCAAGTTCCTGCTGTTCAACAATTTTATTTTTTTATTTCTACTTTTACTCATAAACTGCCACTCAAAAGTTTTTGTACTGAAAATGATGACTGAATAAAACAATACCTCATGTCATTATAAAAACAGTGTTGTGGTGTAGATTATCAGATAATAATAAAAACAGAATCATCTTCAGGTCAGTTTACAGTAGAAACAGTCTCTTACTTTGTGTCTGAGGGTCCAGCTTCATTACTAAAGGCTGGATGATCACCCATGGACCAGTCACTCTTCAAAGACAGCTGACAGCTGGACACTGGAGACTCTGATCTGTCCCCGTCTGCCTCCAAATCAACCATCTTCCCAAATCTGAGAGAACTGTAACACACATACACAGTGTGATGAAGTCAGTAACTTCTTATTTATAGGACATGATAACATATTGGCTGGGTATTATTATGACATACAGTAGGGGAGAGCGGGGTCAGTTGGGACACTTTTGTATTGACACTAAATAACCTTTGATTACTGACAGACTACTTGAACAGTAATGAAAATAATTTGATCTCTGAACAGATACAGGCATCTGCTAACTATTAATCAGGTTTTTAGAGCCCAACCCAAACGTGAAAGGCACAGTTTTGTTAAATGTACAAGGAGTGCATTTTCCCAAAGTTCTGACTCCCTGGGACAGTTGGGACACCGTGTTCTGGGCTGGGCTTTAAATATATATAAGCTGGACTTACAGTTTACATCCATGTCAGTGAAAACATGGGTGCTTTACCTTGACCACTACCAAAATCTAATCAGATGGATGTTTGCACTAAATTTGAAAAAGCTTCCCTCAGTCTTCTTGGAAATCACATTCACAGTAATGAGACAGACATGGTCACAGTGACTTTGACCTTTGGCCTACGATGACCAAAATCTAATTTGTTCATCTGGAGACCAAGTGGACGTTTGTGCCAAAGTTGAAGAAATTCTCTTAACATGTTCTTGAGATATCACATTTGCGAGAATACATGGACAGACAACCCAAAAACATCATAACTCCGGCCACGGCTATTTCCTGCACAGAGGCATGATTATTATATTTTCATAAATTACTGAGATATGGAATTTGGCTGTCCTCTAAGTCTTCATTTCAGAATCAGCTCAATGTGGTTACCACATGTAGCCTTTAGGTTTATGTAGGATAATGAGTTTGTTTATTAATTTTGTTAAAAAACAAACAAAAAGTCAATAACAGCAACTTGAAAATTAAAAAAAGTTCAATAGTTGAACTCATTCAAAATATGTTCAGGGGTTGAAATGTAGGTCTGTATGAAGTTCAGCATCTCTTAATATTCTAAACGTACCCTAAAACAGAGACCATGGGCTCTAAACTAAAGCAAAGTCAATAGATTCTATTAGGAAAAGCCTTTGTCTTGTTTTTGAGGTTGAAAGTGAACAGGGTGTGGCTGAGCATGGTGGATGACACAGTTTCTTTCTACCTTGCTAAATAGGCGGCACTGTCCGACCCCACTCTCCCCTATAACAGACTAAACAATGAATCAGAATAAAAATCAGCTGATTAATCAATAATGACAGTAATCATTATTTTTATAGTATTAACACTCACCGTGTCTCAGACGACCTGTATTCCTCTGACTGCTCTGTCCAGTTTAAAATGGAGTCTGAACACACTGACTTTAGACTCTCAGTGTTTCCTCCTGTTGGCACCTCCTCCCTTTTATTCATAGGAATTTTGTTTTGTCACACATCGATGCCTGAGACTCGTCCGTCCAGTTTAATCAAACAAGATCACATTACATGAGGGCCTTGGGTATGATAGTTTATAAAGGATTCAAAGGGTTCATTTTAGCCTTTAGCTGACAGGACAGTTAAGCGTGAAAGGGGGAGACAGACAGAAGGAGTGACATGCAGCCAGGTGCCACAGGCCGGAGTCGAACCCGGGCTTCTGCGGCGAAAGCCTTACTGTGCATTCCCACCAAAAGCTTCATAGTCGCCTGCGGGCATTCTGGTCGCTCTGACATCGCTCACACACTGCCAGCTACAGCAGGCGCTTGCAGCGGCCAAAGGGGCGGGGCCAGGCGCTGCAGATGCGTCTATCTAGGCTGACCGGCGGTGCACTTTACAAGGATGAACAAATATACTATCATTTATGTCTTCACTATGGATTATTCATGACTTTCATTACACAATTAAAATAACACTAATAAACACAGTCATATAGCCTTTATGAGTCTTTTATTATATGATTTTACCCTCCTTTTGGCACGTAGGACCACTGAGAAATGTAATTGGTGGCAAATAAGCAGGAGCTCATGGATTGCATTTTCGGAAGCCTCCTTTGTATTGTATCGGTGTATTTGCTGAGGAAACGCAGGGCCCGGAGCCGTCGGGCCGTCTGGGTCCACATAGTCCTGCAAACCCTGCAACTCCATGGGGAATTTCACCGGCTGGTACAGCTTCAGGAGAGCCCAGGCCGTGCTGATAAGTTTCTCCTCCATATTCGTCTTCACTTTCAATTTTTCCCGGGCCCTCGCTGTGAGAATCCCGGTTTGAAATTGGCTGCTGCTTCGGCGGTGGCGCTGCTCATTTGCATAAAGTTCAGCTTCTCTCAACTTCTACTTGACGCTCTGGTCGCTGACATCGAGCCGCTCACTTCAGCCGACGCCCCTGACGCCCTTCGTCGCCAGCGTGCATTGAAAATGAATGGCTGCCGGCCGCTTATGATGCTCATGAAGCTTTTGGTGGGAAAGCACAGTTGGCGCCTGCTTTATCCACTAAACCACCAGTGCTCTGTTAACAAGGATTCTGTCGGCTCAAGTTGACATGCGGTCTTGTCAAACTGTTAGGTAAAAGCTGATATTCCCTGAGATAAGTTCTCATTGTTTTCCTTTGTGCAACAAGTAATTTAATTCAGTAGGCTACAAAATCGAATGATGACATGACTTACTGTACACATGTGATAAGGCACTCCTGTCTCCTGTGTGCACCCTCTTCTTGTTGCAGTCAGATCACCTGTATCTTACCCGGATACAGCAATGCTATTTTCTGATTGGCTGATATGTAGTTGTGTCTTATTTTTATTGGCTGGAGCGTTACATATACAACAGTGTAACTTGGCGGGTGTTATCATAATTTTTTTTTTATGCATGAGAAATACCAGGTGTGGCGGGTTAAAGTGTGAAAAGGGTAAATTGCGTGTGTCACTTTCAAAAAGTGAGACTTGAGAGCCCTGCTACATTCTGTCTGTTCACCTCACAGTGGCAGGACTATCATACAGTTTGTAGACATGCACCAAGCAAGGAAAATATAAAAGAAGCAAAGGTCATGATGTCAGTGACAGCGTTCAATGAGCCAGACTTTGGTGTCAGTTCTGTTGGAGTCACACTTTAATCCATCACGTTTTTGTTGTTTCAGCTTTGACTGAAAAATCCTTCCACCAGATTAAAAAGCACACCTCATGTGATGCTTCCTGATGTTTTATATCTAAATGTGTGCGTTTGTTTAACTTGTTATTGGTCTCCAAACAAATCATGGCTCTGTCTCAAGCCCCTGTTTGTCATATATCAGTTCAGGAAGGACCCAAATGCAGAGCAGCAGGCAGGTTGAAGGTTTAAACAGGAAACCAGCTTTAATGCTGATATAAATAAAACATCCAAAACAGGTCATTAAAAGTCCAAAAGAAAGAAGAACCAAAAACTGAAGTGAAACCAACCAGGATAACATGATGAACACAGGGACGAACTCAGGAAAGAAATCCAAAACAGAACACAAGAGACCAGAGGCAGGAAACGGAGCAGGGAACGACACCATGAACACGGGGATGAACCAGACAAACTGATGAGCAACAAAGTGAAACACACAGGTATATATACACAGAAAACTAATCACAAGAAGGAGACACAGCTGGAGTAGGTGGACACAGGCAAAAGGAGGGAAATGGGGATTGGCTGACAACAAGGGTGTGGTGGGAAACACTAGGGTGGAGCAAACAAGACTAACACACAACAGGTGTAAAGGGAAGACTCTGGGAACAGGGAAGGACTAACGAGACTGAAGGAAGACAGGTGTGATAGAAAACAGGCAGGAAAACACACAAAGACAGGAAGTAAAAGCAGACGTGACACATGAGGAGAGAATCTACAAAATAAAACAGGAAACAGATTCAACATTAATGAGTAACATGAAACAAGGAGCACAAACAGAAAACTCCAAAACAAAGTCCACAAGATAACAGGATAGAAACTAAACCCAGGATCATGACACTGTTTGGTCCAAGATAGCTAAATGCTAACTGCTGTTAGCGGCTACATGTATTTGCTTATCAATAACTAACTAAACTTTAAACTGTTAATGATATTTAATAATATTCAGGAGAGCTGACGTTAGATAATGTTTCCTAATATTGTCAGGAGGTGGCGCTAATTGCCAAATTATTATGAATCTGTACATAAATATTGTATTATGCATATATATGTGTTGTAAATTCAACAGTCTGAGTTTGAGCTTTAGTTAGTGCAGCTGTTCTCACCTCTAGCTCTGTCTCTGTAAATGAGTCCCAGTAAGATGGTGGACAGCAGGTAAGGAGCTCCAGCCACCAGGTGGCGCAGCAGAGCGGAGACACACAGCAGAGGAGGTGGAGGATCACGGCCTGCAGGAGGCGCTGCAGAGAGAAACTGAATCTGAGAGACTTCCTGGTGCTCGTCAGCAGTCGGAGCTTTTTGGACTCGACTTTAAATCCCCTGAAAACTTGGGTATTTCTGTAGAACAGTAAATATTCATGACTAAAAAAACAGAGTTACATTTTATAAAACATTCTCAAGTTTTGTGCAGTGGTGAAAGAAGTACTCAGATTCTTTGACTTGAGTAAAAGTAGAAATACTACACTGTACAAAGTGTTATTTATGAGACATCTATGTCAAAGTGTTACTTTATTGCACAGTTACCAGTAAAACTTTTCTAAAATACTGATAACAGACTTAAATATTCTTCATTCAAAGTTAAAAGTTGTCAAGTAAACTAGACTCAACTTAAAAAACAATCACACACACAAACCAGTATTATCAATGAACAAGACCCACGAGACCACCGGGGGTCAAATGTTTAGGACTCACCCCTGTATTACCCCCGACTGGACAAACACTTCTTTCAGCCATCCTAAGGCCAAAAAGAGGTCAAAAGTCACTTGGGATCCCTCAAGTTTCAGATGCCATCTTAAAGTATCTAGCCTTGGGGCAAAATGCGGTAATGAACGACTCATGAGTTGTCGTGAGACAATGCTTCTTTTCTCAACCACATCCTGTCCATTCGCATTGCCCCGGGGAAATCACGCCCTCCCCTCTCTTACCAAATGTTTCCGTGTGACAAAATTGAAATGTCTGTTGGAAGTGAAATTATACATTTTATCCATGTTATAACTTTGTAAATATACATAAACATTGTTTGTTAGTTTAATGATGTTTTTCTTGTTTCCATAAGGCAAAAATTAAGGTAATTAAGAAAATAAGATTTTAATCCCTCATTTGACATGGAGCCATACTGCCATCTTGTGATGGTAGTTAAAGTGGGTTCCCATAAGGAGCCCCATATTATATTTAGAGTTAAAATATAGTTGGGTTTATTAATCAACTTGTTTTCATGAATATGTGCTTCCTCATTTTGTTTTTCATTATATGTTGCAACTATAGGTTAGTCTAGAGTGTGTGTATTTGAAGCAGTTTATACATGCACTTTGCTGATACACGCGGTATAATAATTGTATTCATTTTAATTGGATGTTAAGAACCGATTTTGACCATAATGAGAAGAGTATGTGCCTATGGCTTGTAACATGTCAAAGTATATGATCTCGTATAATAAAAAGCATCAAGTTTCTTTTGAAATAAAGTAATCAGCCTATTTTACAACTAAGAAGACCGCCTTATCAGACCCGCCCACTTTGGCCGGTTAAAAACGTGCGATCTGGTGCACTCTCTCTCTTGCTCTCTTGAATTCTTGCTCTTTTATTTTTTTGACTCTTCTCTCTTCTTGTTTTTTTTTCTCATCCTTTTTGTTTCTTCTTTCTCGTATCTTAGCCTCTCTTGTATTTACGTTTTAATTAACGCTTTTATACTCTCACGATCAAAGTTATTTTAAACTTTTATCTCCAGTGTTTTCAACATTTTTATGCGCGTTAATAATAACTTTGATAACAATATTGAACGGCCAACGATATTGTTTTCATCATTATTATAAGCGAGTAATTATAACAAAGTAGACAAGTGCCCTTTTCAACCGGCCTCTTCAACCAAAGATTCATCAAACCCAGCAACTGCCAGCCACTTGCCACAGTGGTTCTTGTGCCAAACCCAAAGGCTTTTTGCAGCGTAAGGAAACCGATGTTGGGGGCACCCACAGGACGTCGCAGGCTCAACCGCTCCCCCCACCACAGTGCGCCAGCCAGTTTCATTCTGCTGCAAAGTCTGGGAGTTGCAAAGTGACAGTCCGGGGCTCCAGGAGAAACGTCTGCATGATTCGCTGCTAAGAAGGGAGGCAAAGAATTACCCTCACAGGTGACCCGCTGGGCAGTGGTAAGAGTTGATGTTGAATAGGAGATTTAATTAATCTTAATTTAGGATTCCTTAGATAAATATTTTGCGCATCCCTGCGTTCCCAATTTATCTATAGTCACATACTCCCTCACTATCGCCAAATGAAATAACTCACACGAGTGTTACTTCTTGTTTAATCCATTTATACATACTGTTGATTTTGTGTTATTTCATATTATCCTCATTCATTTATTCAGTTGTTACCCATTTAGCTTAAATAAATCTTCATTTATCACCAAGTCGTTGTCTGTGGATATTTCTTTTGAGCAGGAGTTAAGATCGCTGTATGGAGAATTCATAACCCAGATATTGAGATTGATTCATTATTGATAAGCGTGCTGACGAATTAATAATTTGTTTACGGAGTTATTAATTTGATTAGTCGCTGCCCTCATTAGGAGGGTGGTGCCCCAAACTTTATTACGAGTGCAAACATTCTCAAAAAGGTATTTCCCCGACAAAGAGTTGAACTTGAGTGAAACCCCCCTCACCTCCGACAGTCAGCCAGCTGTCTGCTGATCCTCCAGCTCCAGAGACACAGTTACATTTGTAGAGTCCTTCATCAGATGGAGAAACACTGTGGATGGTCATGTTTCCTGTGGAGCTGCTTTCTTACAGTCAGTGTAAAGTTAGCAGTAGGAAGTGGAAGTTAAATTGTGTGGCTGATGTAACCAGTTAGAAGTCCAAGTGGTGATGAGGTCTTAAAATGTAGGCTGAAACGTTTCTTTCAAAAGTTCTTCAAAGGTTTAACTTCAGGATTCCTGCATAAAGCCTCCTCTGTCTTCTTCCAAAAGTACCAAACATTTTGCCTGTCTGTGATCTGATGTTTTCATCCTTAATATAACTGATGCAACTTTACTGTCATTGACTCTTTTCTCCTTTACATTCAAGTAAAGAGCAGCAAGGACTTTGAACTTGACACATAAACAAACACAAATTGGTGCATAA